AGACTGGGGAGGGTGAAGAAACGGATGTGCCTATTCGAACCGCGAAGAAGCGGTTCGACGGAAAACTAGTAAGCAGGGAAAGCAATCGGCCAGTGATGCCATGACTCTCTAGATTGTACAGGAGTGGGATGTGTGGCACTCTGTCGAAGGCTTTGGCAAAGTCTATGAAGATCGCGTGCGAAAAATGACCTTCGTCATGTGCACGTGTTAAGCTATCCATTAAGGTCAGCATATTGGAAATGCATGACCTGTTTGGTAGGAAGCCGCGATGGAAAGCGCTTAACAAGGCGTTCTCAGTTAGATGTCCTAGGATATGCCGTTTAATGAGGCGCTCGAAGTCCTTACAGGGAATGCTGGTTAGGCTGATAGGCCTATAGCTAGGAGGTAAGTGTCTCTCGCCTTTCTTATAAATATATAAACCTGAGCGGGTAAGACAACCACTTGGTAAGCCAAAAACCTCCTTTTTCAGTAGATTTTGTGACTGCGATATATGTTACGAAGCCGGTTATGCATCACCAAATGCGTCAAGAAAATTGTCAATACACAAGTTACTTCGAACACTAGTTAACACCGAGGCGAAGAGCTCGTTTCCATATTGAGAAGCTGTTCGTCGAAGTGCATAGTTTGCGCAGAAGGTCTAGGTAACTAGTTGTGGTGATCGTGCAACGAATACTCACGCACCGCGGTACAGCTTCCGGCTAACCAATCAAGAATAGAATAACCGACCAATCCTGTGGTCCCGATTGGCATCAACCAGATTGGCCGAATACATGAAGGTATAATAATAAACCACACTGTCGCCGATTGGACGTCCAGGAACCGACCAATAACTGTTGGTCGCATGTGATATATATTTGCGTGCTTTTCTCAATAGAATCATCTGTATCCACAGCTCGTCTTGGTTTTACCTTGCGTTGCGTAATTCAGTGGGTTTTCAGTCCGAGTTCAAGTTCGCGCTGTTCAATTCCGGTTCTTATTCGATTATTACACTACCCCAAGTGGGTAAACGGTTAACCGATAGTCTACTGCAGGACGCTGCATGTCGCCTCCAGGTAACCATAGTAGTCACAGGGCGTTGCAATGCTCCTCTCGTATCTTAACTTGTAAGAACATTTCTTTTATATCGGCTGTCACAGCATACCTCCTCTCCGGTCACTCACTTACCGTCAAAGTTCGAGAGGCTCACTCGGACACTCATCCCCTACCAGCGTAGTGCCCCAAGGATGCGTACTCGCATGTCTTCACTTTCTCATCTTCGTGAATGACATCTTCGAAGGCTTTTACATCCCTGTTTCCTCTACCCTGACGACGTTAATTTGTTAAAAAACAGTAGCTATCTAGAAACCATCAAGAACAACACAACAGACCTAGCGATTAGTATGTCATGCAATTTCACCCCAACTGCAGCATGCGACACAGCCGCCATAAAGATTCGCTACACATGCAGGACAGGGCACCGCAACAAAATACTTTAGTTGAAGCTGCCAGTGAGGAGGAGGCCACAGTGAGCTGTACTGAACCAGTTATATTGGCTACAATAATGGTAATCTCTTAAGCAGCTGTAAAGTCCTCACCTCTCCGACTGCAGTGGAGATCAAGCTCTCCAAAAAAATGAGGAGATAACAATCAGGGTTCAGGAGGCTTTCGGAATGACGATAAAAGTCACTCCGAGTGGCACGAAACATGATTGACGGGGTGCTAGCAGAGGCAAAGCGCACAAGAGGCGATACCAGTTCTCTAGCAAACCTGGTCTTCAAGATGCAGAACTGCAGCATCGCCCCAAACCACCTCGAATATCGGTCGGACCTGGATGCACTTCACAC